CCCCCCCCAACCCAAAAAAAAACCCATGCCCTCCATGTTTTATTCTTCTTAATTTTTATTACTCCATATTATTATTATTCTAAAAAATTAATTAGTAATTTTACAACCTAAAAAAGTCATTTTACTACTCTAAGGTACCTTAAAATAGTGCTAAATATGCAATAATAATTATTATTATAAATAGAGTATTACCACTACTAATTATTTGTAATATAAATAATGATATTAATTATTATTATTATTATTATTAAAAGAATTAGTAGTTGTAGTACTCAATTTTTTCGAAAAAAACTAATTATTATTAATTTTAATTATTATTTATTTATTATTATTTTCTTCTTGTATTGTTATTCTTATTTATTACTTGGTATTTATCACTATCTAGAGTAATAAAATTACTACTTTTTTAGGGTGTGAAATTACTAATTAATTTTAAATAATAATATTAATAATAGAAAAATAAGAAGAAGGAAATTAAGGGAGAGGGTGGGGTGGGGGCTGGATTAGAGGAACAAGAAGTGTTGGGATTTTAAGCGCGTAAGACTATTAAAATATCAAGAACGTGAAAAATAAATAGACACACTACACAAGAAGAATATATGAGAGAAAAACTATATCTTCACTATTTCAGAACGATACACAAAAAACTCTCCTTGTTTACAAGTGTTAAATACCAGACACTTATAAACAGACTTTTCACACCCTACACCCGGATGTATTTTTTTCAAGTAACTAAAACCAGTTACTCCCTACACTCACTCACACAATGTTGGTGATATCTTGTGTAGACCTCTCTCTTAACCTTCCTCTTTTTTCCTAGCCGTGTGTATACTTACTAAGAAGACCATGCATGGCTTTTAAAGCCAAGAGAAGTACTGCTGCAAATCACCACAAACACAAGAGTCCAAAACAAATTTGATTCCCTTCCATCAAAAAAATCCACACGCAACTTAGGATATCATCACATGCGTGTATCTTCCTTTGATTTCTTTCTTTTCTTTTTTTTGTTTCTTTTGATTATTTAATCAAATATCTCAACAAACTCCACCTTGATTAATTAATCAAACCATGATCCAGCTCCACCCCGCTCATTTCGGCGAGGTCACAGTCTCCACCAACCTGAGAAGCTTCAAATGTCACCCGCTTCTTCCATGCAAATGATCCGCTCGTTGCACTTGTAATTTTTCCTTCTGGCAACTTCCGTGTCAAATCTTTTCCTACAAGTTTATACAAGCCCTTTGACAAACTCCTTTTGCTACCACCATTGCTCCCCTTGAAATTTTTAACACTCCACCTTGAGCAAAAATTCGGCAGCCTTTTGAATCTAAAGCCCCCAATGAAATCAAATTTCCTTTTAGACCCGGTGTATGTTTCACTCCAGTTAATGTTCTCACCACGCCATCAAACATGCGAACTTGCACTGTTCCGACCCCTACAATCTTGCTCCGTGCACCATTTGCCATCTTCACAGCACCCCCATCACAAGTTTGATACGTATAAAACTGTTCCTTAACTGAACACATGTGAAACGAACAACCCAAATTTAATATCCAATCCGATTTACCTAGACTCTTTGTGGTTTCCAAAAACAGGTCTTCTTCACTTGCTTGGTTCGAACTTTCTGCAACCGCAGTCACGGGTGTTTTTCCGTCCTTCTTTTCTTTCCTCCTCTTTGGACAATCCCTTTTGAAATGACCCTCTTCATCGCAGTAGTAACACCGAAAGCTTTTACTACTCGATTTGAAGTGTTGGGACGTGCCGCCCCTCTCTTTAGACCGTCCTCGTTCCCGACCAGCTCCTTTTGCTACCAAAGCTTGACCGTCATTTGATACCCCGTTGCCACCCCGCCGAGTCTCATTCATCAACAACGCATCAACTACTTCATCAAATTTTAAGGTCTCTTTTCCAAACAAAAGCGTGGTCACGATGTTGTCAAAACATGAAGGCAATGAAGCCAACAAAAGCAGCGCCTTGTCCTCCTCTTCAATCTTCACATCAATGGATTCCAACTTTGTTGTAATCTTGTTGAATTCATCCAGGTGTCCATTAAAGTTAGCTTCCTCCGCCATTTGGAGACCAAACAATCGTTTCTTCAAGTATAGCCTACTTGTCAACGATTTCAACTTGTACCGGCTCTCCAGCTTGTCCCAAATATCCACCGGGTCCGTCAAACCGAGAACCTCCCGAAGAGTATTATTTGCAAGGCATAGGCATATTGTACTTGTTGCCATGTCCTTCAAATCCTCCCACTCTTCTTCCGACAATTTTTCCAGTTTGTCGTTCTTCCGGTGTTTGGCCCACTAACCATCCGTCATTTTTTCTGTCCTCTGAACCTTCACCTTCAGAGCTTTGATTGTCCCTTCCCGAGTAAGAACACTTTTTACTCGTTGTTGCCACAGAGTAAAATCGCCACGTCCATCGAAAGGTTCGACGGAAACATTCGAACTTTTTACTGATGTCATTTTTCAAGTTCTTCGACTTTCTTCTCTTACCGCTTAGAAATCCCTCCGTCCCAAATGTAACTTGGCTCTGATACCAATTGTTGGGATTTTAAGCGCGTAAGACTATTAAAATATCAAGAACGTGAAAAATAAATAAACACACTACACAAGAAGAATATATGAGAGAAAAATTATATCTTCACTATTTCAGAACGATACACAAAAAACTCTCCATGTTTACAAGTGCTAAATACCAGACACTTACAAACAGACTTTTCACACCCTACACCCGGATGTATTTTTTTCGAGTAACTAAAACCAGTTACTCCCTACACTTGGTACATGTTGGGACTGCGCGTGCCCTCAATCCAACCCCGCATTAGTATGATATTGTCCGCTCTGGGCTAAGCCCTCACGGATTTGTTTTTGGGCACCTCCCAAAAGGCCTCATACTAATGGGGTTGGGTGAACCTATATATTTTGGTCCATTTTTTCTTCTCCCTCCGGTGTGGGACTTGGAGGAATCCCCAACAAACCTCCCCTCAACCAAGGACCACACAATTTCCGACCTCCCCTCCAGCGGTAATCCATTTTTCCTTTTTATCTGCTAACCATCTTGCACCGCCGCACACTCTTTGCGGGACACGCCGCCCGACTTCCTGTCGGGAAGACTTTCGACGCAAGGCTCGAACCGCAGATCTTTCCTTCGCTAGGCTACACCATTTGATCCGCCAAATCATCCTGTACCGCCGTGACTATAACTTCACGGGACGCGCCGCCCGACCTCCTCTCGTCGGGAAAACTTTCGACACAAGGCACCACCTGCAGATCCTCTTTCTTGGTCTTGGTCTTGGTCCTAGTTACACCGTCACACCGAGATTTTTCCACACTGCACAGTCCGCTACTCCCGCCCGCAAGAACCTGGGCTCCGATACCACATGTTGGGACTGCGCGTGCCCTCACCCTAACCCCGCATTATTATGATATTGTCCGCTCTGGGCCAAGCCCTCACGGATTTGTTTTTGGGCACCTCCCAAAAGGCCTCATACTGCACAGTCCGCTACTCCCGCCCGCAAGAACCT